CGACCTTGGTCCTGTGCACAAGAATCATGCTCAAGATCACTGCGACGACACAGAGTCCCGACATCAACAAGGAAGAAAGGAAGAAGCATATGGCTCCTTCACACTGGAGTGTCTTCTCCTCGCTGAAGCTTGCTGCATCGAGCATTCTTCCAAACAAGAAGGCTGACGAACTATGTCGATTTCGAGCTTGTTTCTCGGCTTCGTGATCATACATACCACTAACAATCAGACCAGAGAACACTAATGAACCTGCTGGATTTGCGACGGTGAGAAAATTGTACAGTGCTCCAAAGTTCTTCAAGCCAAACAGTTCAGAGGCAGCAGCTGGCACGATAGACCAGTGCGCACCATATCCGAGCCCAATGAGCAGAGTGCCGATGTACATTGCCCGTGGCCAAGCCATTGCAAAGCAAAAATGTCCGAGTGCCATCAGAACCTGAGCTACTGCCAGCGCTACAGGCCTCGGATACGCCCGATTCCTGATAAGATTATCCCAAAAATGGTGGAAGGATGTTACATAGAGACATCATTAGTACAAAAACATGGAAGCATTTCTCTTCTATTTTGATCCTACTCCATTACCGTTTATAGGTAGTAAGTACTTCCTCTAATCCTCGTCTTTTGATGTAAACATATATTCCCTTATCTGCTGATTATATATATATATATATATATATATATATATATATAATCGTCACATATCCAACATGTGGTATGGTTTTAGAACTTGATTATATCCCGCATTGTATTATTATATTTCTTGGCAATTATTTCCACCCAGAAAACTTTAGGGAGGAGATAACAGAATAATGATGATGCTTTATTTAGTAGCTCCATCTACTCGATGAACTGCTATTTGAAGGTCAAATTCACTCTAGGGAGAAGAATATTGCAATTGAAACCAAGAAAAGGAATTGCTTTTCATCACAAGCATGACCACAGACATACTAAGATGGATACTAGAAATAAAGAAAATGGGACATAAACGTAGCTAGTATCTTGTAGTTATGGTTCATTCTTTCGAAAACAAGAATTGCTCATATGGTGCCTAAAGAGCAAGGATGTTTCATGACATTATTGATTTGGCTGTAGAATCGATGATAAATACATTAGCTAGCAGATAGAAGCAATATGAACTAATTATTTGCATGGAATGATGAGCTGTGCAGCAAAGGAACAAAACACAGTTGACATATAATACCTGACGATGATCTCAGAAACATAACCTCCACCGATACGTCCAAGAAAATTCCAAATGCTGATCATGGAGACAAAAATATGAGTGTCCTCATAACCCAAAGATTGGCTCATCTGACCCAAATTATCGATGACCGTCAGACCAGATCCTGATCCCAACAGCAGAGAGAAGAACAATAGCCAGAAATCTGCTTTGATTAGAGCTTGTAACAGCGTGAAGTCCTCTCCCCGACGTGGTCCTCTTTTCCTCCTGACTCTCACAGCTCCTTCGGCTGCAGCCTGAAACAGTCTTGCTTGCAACTGCGCAATTCTTTTCTGCCTCTCTAATTCAGGAAGCGAGTCGACTTCCTTAGGCTTCTCGTCTTCAACCTCACTCAGAATAACCTCAGCTTGTTCCTGGGATCCTACTCCTCCCCCTCCTCCTTTCGTATTCTCAGGTAAAAGACTCTCTCGAGTGGCTGCAGGGTCTTCGGAGGAACTCGACGTCAAGAGCACAGGTATTGCTACAGGGACTAAAAGAATAAGGATCAAAATGAGAGTAAACGTGGTGATCACAGTTCGGCTCAAGTCGATTAGATCTTCGAGGAGCATGACACCCAGCAGATAAGCAGCCAGAATCAAGCACACACTGTAGATGAAGCTAAAGCTGTAATCGTCAGAAGGCCTCACTTGTCTGTGACCCCCAACAGGTCTCACGATGAACATCAAGGCCATCACCACCATGGTCGGCCCAACTGCGACCATAAAAATGAGAGCTGCATGATTCGGGATGTGGATCATAGCATATAATTGAGTTAAAATAGCACCACTTAGACCGGCAAATCCCTTCAGGATGCCCACCACAGGTCCCCTGCTCTTAGGGAAGTTTTGCACACAAGAAACCAAGGCAGCAGTGTTGAAGTATGTCTCTCCATTGTTGCCAACAAAGATCAGAATGCACATCTGCACCAGACACACCAAAACCAACATAAATTTGTCACGCTAGATATCAACATAAAGAGCCAGATCGAAAAGAACAACTATTCCGATGATAAAGGCTAAATCACATTTCTTTTTGGAAGTTAAAAGAGAGTACGAGAAGCCTCGAGGGAAGAGCAGTAGTACAACAATGAGTGACATGCCAGAAAGAGTCAGCTGGCCGGCTGGCTGGCTGCAAGAGCAGCGATTCACAAATGACTCAGTTCAGATGTACTTGCAGAACTTAATCCTGCAGAGAAAATTCTCCAAATTTTCTTCGAATGAAGCAATTCAGACACAGTCCCCACGAGAGATCCTCTCAGAAGTCAGAACCCTTATAATATCATAACATGCCAGTGTGCCAAAAACTGTAAATTTCCACGCTTTTATTTACCAATTATAACATGTCAATCGATCAAAGAATTCAGTAGTTCCAATGTAAAAGAAGCAATAAGAGGTCAACGCCGAAAAGAAAATTCAAAGTAGCAGTAAAACTGTGATTCTTCAAAGAAAGAAAGGAAAAAGAGCACGTTTTGCCGAGGAACGTAAAGCCCGGGAAAAGGCTTGGCTTACCACCCAGAGAGGCAAAACCGGCACTTGTCGTGTCACGACGAGCCAAACCAATCCATAGCCGATCAAGTTCTGCAGCGCGCCGATGAGGAGAGCGACCCAAAGGGGAAGGATTTCGCAGAGGGTGCCGGCGAGGAACCCGACGCTGTCGCCGAGGTCCTTGGCGACGCCGAGGCTGGCGATCTGGCGCTGGTTGTAGCCCATGGAACTCTTTATCACCGGCGAGATGCTGCCGAACAAGTAGCCGATCCCGGCCCAGGACTGCATCCACATTGCCGCCACAAACACCAACCATCTGTTGTGGAAGAAGGACTGCAGGTTTCCTTGGAGCCTGTCCATCGTTCCTCGCCTCGCTAGGTTGAGCAATCGAGTCAAAGGTGGGACCTTTACCCTTTTACCAACGGTGCCTGGTTCAGGAACAACGAGGGAAAGTGATCGAGTCGGGTTCTTTCTTCCTTTTTTGAGCTCAAGTGTGGATATTCTTCTCTTTCCTTCTTGATTACCTGGATTTGATAGCTTCGGAAGAGAAGAAATCCAAACTACAAGCCATGTAAAGATGCGATCTTTTGGCCTTTTCTGTGTGATTCTCAAGCAAAACACTGGGATCAAAGCTCCAAAACAGGAACTTTCTTCCTCTCTTATATTCTTCTCTCAGAAAAGGAGAAAGCTGGCAAGCTGGTGGTGAAGAAGCAGCGGCAATGAGATCTTATAGAATCTAGGAACCAAGAGAGGAGCCTCACAAATAGAAAGAGAGTTCTACTTCTCTTCTTCTTCCACGAAACAATTTTCTAGATTCGAAAAGGACCGTGTGTGAGGGAGACTGAGACACACAACTAAAACCCAGAGGAACAACTATACCAAGACGCCAGATGTCTCCCTTAGATTCATGAAACGCGAAATGATTAGAGCTTTCAGCTTGTGAACATGACATTTCTGTCCTCCTCAAGAACTTGATGACACTTGGAAACAGTTCATCGAACAATGATTTCGTTTGTAGCTCAACGACCAGCGAGCGGCCACAGACAGTCTCCTCCTCGTTTTCTGGTCAGTTCAGCATCGTCTGGCGTGCAAGCTTCGCTCCAATTTAATCATAGACCTCATGTATTTAATCAATGATGGATGATAATTATTTTAAATTAGATGGCTAATAAATCCTAAAAGCTCCTAATTTGTATTAGCCTCTAAAATTCTAAACCTACTCCGATATCATAAAAAAAGAAAAAAGAAAGGTATTTTTACCGACCCTGATATCATGAAAATTTGGGATAGAAAAGATACAAAGTACGATCCGAGAGGGAGAAAGGGTGAAGAGGAGGAGGAGAGGAAACAAAGGGGAAGGGAGAAGAGGAGCTCGCACTAGTAATGATACTATGAATCTTATCAAAATAAATATAACTTTTTCTTTTATATATATATATATATATATATATATATATATATATATATATATATATATATATATATATATATATATATATATATATATATATATA